AGATGCCACAATTCATCTTAGCTTTGAAAAGGGGTCCAATGGCATCATTTAGTAATGATAAGGCATCATAACTTATTTCCTGCCTGAAATAAATTCTTTTCCCTTTTAAGATTCTACAGGAAGATAAAATGTATGAAATATAATAGATGTCTCAACAACAACAAGAAAACCTCCAACACAAATGCATGGTCCAAAGGCCCCTGGTGGTGCAGTGAGGGCTCAGGGAGCTTCCCTAGCAATAAGGCAGCACATTACTGCCATTATCTTGAAGGAGAGGTTTAGGATGCTAGGATGAACTTGCCCATTATACAGTTTCATAATAATATTGTCTTCCCTTTCATGGCACTAAGCACAGCTGACTTTAGCATTTACTAGTCTTGTTAGTAAGAAATCAACGTTCATTTTCACAAAAATAAGGACTGTGAGGCAGGGACTGTGACTTTCATTTCCAGCAAATTTCAGTATCTGGAGTCAAGCATGGCACATACTGTAAATTCTCACCATGGACCTTAGGGAAATGAATCCAAATTTACTGCTTTATCCAGTCACTACAGACAAACATTGTACAAACAGACAAGCTACTGAACCATCATTTTTCCTGTAAGGTTATTTATTTTCATCCTTCTACTTTATTCCCCATTGTGTGATCCTTGACAATTGTAGAGAACATATTTACTAAGTACCTACTGGGTTGAGGTGGTTTCAATATTAATTCTCAAAATCTTACAAAGTGCATACTTATTACTAGTTTTATTTTACAGGTGGGGAGCTGAGATTTAGAAGGTTAAATAACTTGTTTGAGGACAGAGAATCAATAAGTAAATACAAAAAGATTTAAATTCATACCTGATCTGACTCTACCCAGTGTTCCACTGAAAGACACCAGAAAAGAATGCTCTACTTCTGTTAACAACTATCAAGAATGATCCAGGAGTTTCTTGGTTAGGAAACAGTGGGTACAAAATGGCACTATCAAAAGAGTGATTATTCAATTTAAATCAATATTTTATTTGGTTTAACTGCATGAATTATTTGTTTTTGTTTTTTTCTTAAGATCTGTAGTCTCCTTGCCTTATTGTGAAATCTCATTTAAGAGTGGAATATTTGCCATTCAAGTTCTGTCAGGCATTTCCATTTTCATTGGAAAATAGAAAGTTGGTTCCATTATAATAATAGGTATGTCATAGATACGACACATTTGCAAATATCTCATCTTTATTAAGCCGTCAAATGAGATGGGAGTAAACAGTAGGTGACAAGTAGTGTTCAATAGGCTGACCTCCCAGATGAGTGATTCTCTGATGGGGAACCCCATGTGGTACCATCACTGGCTATAGATAACTGTTTGTCTGTCTGGAATATCTCTCACGAGTCACTTCATTTCTTCCCTCAGAATGGCTTTGGGTGCTTTCCTACTGCTTGTGTGTTTATTTTGTGAAAATATCCCATCTACTGAGCACACATGTATCTGTGGATGGTCAGGAAGATGATTTCTCATTAATCTGTATAATTATGATATATAGAAAATATACTAGGACATGCTTAATAACTAGACCTATTTTTCCACGAGGCTGTAAGACACTTAATATCGGCTTTGTTCCTTTTACTCAGACTAACACAAAAATAACAATTTCTCCTCAGTCCAAGGCAAACTGCACAAAATTAGCTCATTTTTACCTCAGAACAAGTTCAAACTACACTTGTAAATGGATCCTAAGTTTAAAACTTTACAGTTATATACAAGGTCAGAGTTACAGGTGTCTAACCAAGGTTATTTAAACAAAGCAACCTAAAAAGTTATGCCAATTATTTGCTTACCAAGCCTAGTTGATAAAAGACCTAAGCCTCAAAGCTTATCTCACTGGGCACTGTAACAATGCCCTCTGGTCACAATCTTATTCCAGAAACCTTGAAACTTTGTATAAAAAATGTATTTAAGCCAGGTGAACAGAGAAACAGAGAGAATTGGAACAAAGGAGGACTGAAAGTTAGAGTTAGAATTAGAGCCAGCAGAAAAATAAAGAACATGACTCAAACAGCATGTATTTCAATTCATCCCCTCAGACTAGAAACTTTCTGAGTTTCCTTTGCTTACTGTAGCATCTGACCTGAACCCTTGGAGATAGTTTTGTGACCTAGACTCACAAGCTATTGATATCAAATTCAGTAAGAAAGCCCCCCCCCCCATCAGGGACTCAGTTCTTATACACTTCAAAACATGTTTGTACTTCATATAAAACTGCCTGCTTCCATACAACACAAAGACATCAAAGAAGCTATTTTTAATCTTTCTCCTGTGCACACATTTATATAGTCTTCTTAGCTATAATGGCTTCCTACTTGGAACTTATTTCACCTCATACATTTCTATTAAAGACTTTGCACCCTCCTTTCAAAATGTAACAGCAAAGTCATGAGGTGACATCAATAGCCATAAAAAAATTGGAGTGACATTAAATATAACTTGATGTTGGAAGAAATTGAGAGAGAACCAAAAGTCACAAATTCAACCCCTCTACATAATTTCTACTTTTAGGCAGAAGCATTTATCATACCACATGACAATTATTGCAGAGCCAAGAAAAGTGTTATCTTGATTGTTTTGCTTCAACCCAACAATAGCTATACCAATCAGTAAGGAAGGAGAAGATCCAACATGAGCACATGCAGGCACATGTAAAACAATTAATCCAGCATTTCCACCCCAAATCCACACTTTCTGGGAGAGAGAAAATTATGTTATAATTTGGTCAAACTTTGACAATGTCTCACACTAAACTAACTCAAGTAGCAGCTGACCCTGTCTCGCTCTCCATCCCCAATGATCAACACATAAACACACACACATGAAAGGGTGGATGGATGGAGGGAAGGGTGGAGGGAGGGAGAAAGTGGGATGAAGATAGGGAGGGAGCCAGAGCCATAAGGTCCTGCATGTACTTCCAGGCCAATTTGTAATTTCTGTCTAGCATTCAGGCATGGGAATTGGTGCTTGGCAGTCCAGAAAAGATACAACTTAAGGTAAAAAATTCTGATAAACATCAAGACATATGTGTGATCATATCACTTGCTTTTCTACTCAATCGCTTTCAAAGGCTTTCCATGCACTGATAAAATCAAATTTTTGCAAGGTCCTAGGTAGTCTGGACACTCCTGTGCCCATGTTTCCCTATCTTCTGCCCATCCAGACAGCTCCACAACTACCACAGCTGTTCTCAGGCTCTTGTGCCAGCATTCCTGTTTCACAGAGCATTTTCCCTGGATGTACCTTCTGCATGGACTGTCCTGATATTACCAAATGGTACACCTTTTACGCCTTTGGTTTTCTTCATGAATCCCCTTTCACATAAAGCCTATACTGATATATTTAACCACTCCCTCACCCAATTCCCTGAGCTGCTCTAACTTCTCTAGAGCATGTACTTTTTAACACAGTTGTTGCATCATCAGTTTTCTGTTTCTTCTATCAGACTATATATTCCATAAAGCTGGGACAACTTGTCCCCTTTGTTCCCTGATAGTCTATAAACACTTGTTGAATAAATGAAGTCTGAACTTCATTTTAGATTTAAGTTTCCCCTTGCTGGTTCTAAAAGTAAAACCATATCTTGCCATTTTGTCATTTTGACACCAACACATCAAAAACCACTAAATGATCCAGAAAATCCTCTAGGCACAAATTGGATTATTCACTGGATATTAACTTGTTTTGTGTATTTATTTCTGTCAATCTCTTTTTTTCCCCAAAGAATCTGAGGTTCTTCTAGTATTAAGGCTATCCCAAACTCCCAAGATAAATTAACCAATTCTCTAAAGAAGAAATTCTTTGACAAAATGTGAAACTCCCGAAGATTATATATGTAATATAAAATATATATATAATTTATATATATAATTTTAAATATAAAAATTGCTTAATCACCAAATTCTTTTGATAACAAGGAATTCTGTAATAATAAAGGCATAGACTGCAGGATTACCAGGTCTAATCTAGATGACTAATTACACATATAACTTGAGAAAGAACTATTTTTGAAATAGAGACCAGACCCATAAAGCTCTGCAATCTTTTTCTGCCTGGTCAAATTTTAGATGATTTCCTGACCACTGAAGAGTTTGTGCTAAGCCAGGCTTCCCCAGCTCAGGCAATAGATTTCTCTCTCTGGCTGCAAGTCACATTATCTCATGAATGAACTGTTATTTAGGTCAGTAAAGAGGCTCTGGCCTAATTGAATGTGCATTTATCCCTGATGTTCATGCTCTATATATCAAGATTTTTATAGTTATTGAGAGTGGAGAGACTGTTATCAGTATGCAGAAGAGACTATGATGATTAGGCTACACTTGAAGCTGAACAGTTCAAAATACCAGGATAATTTCAAATATTTAATTTTCTCAAATTACATCTTTATTTTGTGTTGGAAGAGTGCACATACAGCGGTCAGAGAACAATTTGAAGAATTGGGCTTTGTCCTTCTACTTTGTGGATCCCAGAAATGAAACTCAGGATGTCAGGTTTGACTGCAAGTGCCTTTTCCTGCTAAGTCATCACTCAAAATCTTTCAAACTTGAATGATACTTTTTGAAATCTCATTTTTCAAAAAAGGCATGCTATCTGGCTTTAACTTTGGAGCCTGGAGTTCTACAGTGACAAAGGCAATCAAGTGTTTCTTTATATTTTCATTCAATTATTGTGTGTGTGAGTATGCGTGTGTGTGTGTGTGTGTGTGTGTGTGTGTGTGTGCGCGTGTTCATGCACACTCATGAAGTTGTTCTCAGAAGGCTTAACCAGGGGATCAAGAACCCTGGTGTTGGATTTATAGCTGGTTATAAGTCCCTTGATGTGGGTGGTGGGAACCAAAGTCAGATCCTCTAAAAAGACTGTGAATATTGTTGACTGCTGAGCCCCCGCCCATTCCTATCACAGGCAAACAAAATATAATTCATTGACTAAATAACTATCCCATACTCATTACGAGGGGAATGATGGTGGGACTGACCTTGGTAAATAGTGATTCGATCCAAATAAAGAATGTGGTTGAGAAGAAACAAGATCCAAAAGTCTAAAAGAAAAAAAAGGTGAGGCCCTGTGAGCTGATTAGAAAACTCAGCCTGTACCCACAAATTACCTTAAATATGCTAAAAATGAGATGATTCTATTAGTGGTACATTTATATTTAAAGAAAACTAAAATATGTTTCATCAACAACAAGAAATATAAACTATAGGATGATATCCTGGTGAGTCTTTTCCAGAGGAGCTGACAGTCAGGCCTGACATATATGGCAGACACGCAAGTTATTTTCTGAACAAACTTATGAATGATTAGCATTTGCTGTGCTATTGAATGACTATAAGTCCACTAGCGAGCACAGTGCTGAGGGTGCTATGGAACATGAGATTATTTATACGGAGTATAGAAAGTACATATATTTTCTACCTCTTCCTGCCTAAGGTAAAACAAAGCAAAGATATTAAAGCTCCACTTTCAGAGACTATGAGTTAGCTAGTCAGAAAAGGATCCAAATATTAGAGTTTTTAAAATACTACTTAGGTGAATGAAGCTCATGTATATACAAAAACATCAACCACTGATCTCTTGGTATAACAATGATTATTTGTTTTTTTTAAACAAGGTCTCACTTCTTGGCTGACCTGAACTCAAAGTGACATTCGTGCCTCTGTCTTTACTTCACAGGTGCTGGGATTATAGGCATGTGTCTGGCCATACTGAATTCCTAAATATTCAATACTCTGATGTGGGATTCTCCTCTGTATGCTGTGAATATGTTTTAGTACTATTGATTAATAAAGGAGCTGTTTTGACCAATGGCTTAGCAGAGTAAAGCAGATGTGAAATCTGAACAGAGCTATACAGAGAGAGAAGGCAGAGTCAGACAGACACCATGTAGCTGCCCAAGAAGCAAGAGGTAACAAACCACAAGCCTCGTGGTAAAATATAAAATAATAGAAATGGCTTAAGATATAAGAGCTAGCTAGACATACTCCTGAGTCATTAGTAAACAGTGTTGAAATTAATACAGTTTCTGTGCGATTATTTGGGTCTGGGTGGCCAAGAAATGAATGTGCTCTGTTTACAACACTCTTACCTACACTGAAAAACCAGAAAAGTTTTCTTTTAATTTAAAGATATTTGCCATACTGGAGTGACATTCCAGAAAAGTCTGATATTTGAACTTAAAATATGAAAGCATATCCTAATTATGTTCTATTTACTATCAAATGAAGAAATAAACCTTATTTCTACAATGCTTTCACATAAAATTTGTAGTCCCAAATTACTCTTAAAAGGAAAATTATATACATGATGTCTAACAGGCAGAGATGTTTGAAATAGAAATAGGTAATTAAAATACTACGGCTTCAATAATGACTTTTAATGCTTCTATGCCTGTTTTAATAGGAAAATCACAAGTAGTATAGCTGTTGTTTAACCATTTCAAATCAGTATCTTTCATTTAATGATTTCAAAGTAGTTCACAGATTTCAAATTGGGAACAAATATTTAACAGGCTTCCACCTCTTTACATGTAGCATGCATATTTTCTAAACTTTGCTCCTCAAAAGCATCTCGGAGGATGACCCTGAATTGTTAAGAGTGGCAGCAGTTATAAAAGCTGTGGCACTGAAAGGCCAGAACGTCAGCATTATTAGGACTCTGCACCACAGAAGACATTTCCCACAACTAAAATACCCTTTTTCTATAGTCAGCTACACTACAATGACAGAATCTTGCCCATGACTACCTCAGTCCTCAGGAAGTACAATGGCTTTTGTGCTGGAATAAAGTACCCCCAGCAACTCTATGGAGCAGGGATTAAGTGATGTTTACTCAGTATCTCTGGACAAATAAAATGCAAAGCATGCCATGGTATCTCAGGCAGGAGAACAGAATAAAATTCTGCTGTCTGAGGACAAAATGTTGTGTGGCAGCATGGGATAAACTGAGCTCTGCCTTCGAATGCCATGCTCTGCGCACAACCCTCGCAGGCAGAAGTTGGTTCACAGCACTGAACTTTTTACATTTCTCTTTTCTTCCTCTTTCCTTTCTCTTCCTTCTTCCTCCTAATTTCAAAAACGAACATTTTAGCTAAGCTTCTGTATTAAATGAGTACAAGAAAGAAAAGTATGAGCCAATTCAATACTTTTAATTATCTTCCCTGTGACAGACCAGCAACTCAAGATTGAAACCAAAGCCAAATTTGATAAACTTTTGTCATTTAAATTTTAAAGCACCATGCCATCATTCAGGAACACTGTCAGAAGATGGAAACTTACATCTGAGATCAGACAGTCAAAACTTGCTGAAAAGTTTGGAGAAGTAACAGCACTCTCCACTCTCCAGAAGCCCGAGGCTAAGCCTGCCTCTGACAGACAGAAAATCCTTGCATATTCCCTGCACCTTCTGTCTCCAGGGCACACTCTGGAGTGTGCGGCCACAAGCTGACTGCAGTTGCACAACTCCAGAGAAGGCTTTAAATCCTCCTCCATGGTGGGGAACATTAACATCGGATATGCTTTCACCATCTCTCCTAATTTCTGCTTCAAGTGGGTTTTCATTAAGGACTATGAGGCAAGCAAAAATACTTCCATTATGAGAAAAAAAGCCCACTGTCTATTTTTACTTGCTTAGTAAATACTCTGCAAAATTTGCTTTCCAGCTTAACAAAATATCTCAAACTTCCCATCATCATTGTGAGGTAGGCCAAATTATTAGGTACACTGTAAAGATAAACACACTGAAGTACTCTCTCTCCATTCCAAAACAAACATTTGATTTCATACAAATCAAGTGGAAAAATCAGGGATTAAGGAATAGAGTGCACACGTTAGCTGACTCACTGAAACAGCATCATCAAGTGGCAGACACAAGTAGAGGATGGAAAACGTGGTGCAATGTGAACAGGGATGTCTGTGTCTGAGTAATAGTTCTGTTTTCTAGCACAGAACACTGACAGTCTTAACTGCTTCTACAGTTTGTCTCATATCCAAAGAATAGTAAGCAATGTCACTCCCAAAGTGTGATTAGTGAAAAACTGTACTTTATACTTTAATATAACACATCAAAGGAAAGCAAGTAGAGCTAAGAGATGCACAATAGGATGCAAATATAGTGTAACTCTTTAAAATGAATCTCTTTTTTAAATCAAGAAAAATACACATGGGCAGGTACAACTGAACATACTGTACCTGTAGGAAAACAATTTGTAGATACAACAGTACTTAAAATTTTGTTCCATGGCTGAGATCAGGCTAAATGGTCTGTCATTTATTTATAATAAATAAAGAGTAAACTCTTTTACATCACATTTAAACATTGAACAATGGCTCCGAAGAGAAGGTCTTAAATTAGAGTTTTGCATATTTTTTCCTTCTCATAACATATTCCTAATTGATTAAGGCAATATTTCCATTATGTTTAGCCTCTTATTTCTTTTCAGACAATGTAAAGTTTAGGCAGGATAAAAATGGAGAAAACAAAAAAAAACTCATTTAATTTAGCAAATCTTTCTAACAGTGAAAAGTAGTTTCGCTTGCTACATATAACTGTTCTTGGAAAACTGCTAGTACATGTCAGAATCTTGTTGGATACAGCATCTTAGCATGCGTTTTTCTGGTAACATGAGTTAAAGGAATGATTCTGGGGTTTGGAGAATAAAAGCTTTTAAAAATATTTTGTGAATCCTATTAGTCCCAAATCATAATCTGACAATCACTATCACTACATTGCTTCCTCATATTTAAAAAATCTGCACTCAAAACCTTCATCAGGAAAAAAAGAAGTTGCTTCTACGGCAATATCTTTGAGAACACAATCAGTGTTTGTACCCATAAACGCCATGCATTCTCCGTGGGTTAGCATTCATTCAAATAGCATCCTCTCTCACAAAACATTGCAGGGGCTTCTCTGTGAGAGTTCTAAAACAGTGGTTTATATGTTTATAATGCCATTAACTTGTTTTCCTTTTTCTCTTCTTTATATATAGATTAACTTTTAAGGAATTGATAATTTCTCAAGGTGACTGTAGGACTGGTCATGATAATACTGTATCCTCAGGCAAAGGTCATATTCCCACAAAAAGAGGTTAGGAATTTGGGGTTAGAATTCTATGGTCTCACTGGCCTCCAACCCCTCTCTTACCCACCCCGCAAACTAAAAAACCACACATTTCCCAGAGGCTTCCATAGAGCTCTTACACTTGAGCACACCTCCTCTGACCCGCACCAGTTCAGTAGCTATGGAGCTATTTCTCAAAACCTGGGCTGTGTCCCTCTTACCCCACCAGGGGCTGTGCTGTATCTGCTTCTCTCAAGACAAAATGTTTTCATCGGGCAGGTGATCTTCTGACACAGAGAGGGTACCATACCCTCCAGGCACTGCTCCTTACTAACCAGCTAGCACAGCCTCTTTGAGGCCCAAACAACTTGGAATCCACTGGCAGCATGTGACTGGACTCCTTGGTGCACTAGTTCTCAACACCCCCAGAAGCATCTGGTTAGGAGCTGGTTAGCTTTGCATCTGGTTACTATCTGGGCTTAGTACAGGATGTTCCTCTTGAAGGCACTTGCCTTTCACTTCATAAAACTTGCCTGGTCTCGTGCTTTCTTTTCTGGTTTACATTCAAGAATTATTTCTAATGTGTATGTCCACTCAGACTCTGATTAGAATACAATAATCATTCAGAATGGGTTGTTTCGAACACTTGCAGTTATCATCCTCTTTACCTCTTATGATTAGTGGTTAATGAAAATGAATCCCTTCAGTCTTGCATGCTCTAAAATGTTGTGGAAGACTTCTAACAAGAAATGCATCTGCATTCTTTGTAATCCTTTCATTCTTAGCCTTTATCATCTCAGTTCTCTTGTTATACAGTCCAAGTCCTCCTTATCACATAAAGGTTCCTTAAAGATTCAGTAACACATTCATTTCTCTCCCACCTTTTGCATTACCAGTGCATATTATAGCACTTATGCTTTTAACTGAATCTTAAATTTACTTCTCTTTATTTGTCAATGTAGAAAGGCTTGGATGAGAAATCAT